AAAAGACCAAGGAGGAGTGTGAAGATTTAAATACTTAATTAAATACATGCTTTTACTTCAGTAACAGAATTTTTATTGCTCAGTGGTATAGAAAAGAAAGGATGTGCAGGTGGTGTAACGGATAGTGGCTCGGAATGAAAAATCAGAGATCCGAGTTCAAATTGCTCAATAGTTGTCAAGAGCAACAATTATTGAATCAGAAATAGTAGTTTCATGATTTATCAATTCTTAGGTCTCCAAATAAGAATAATTGTTTTATTAATAGACACTCTGTAACTAATACAATCATTCCTATTCTGACGAGTGAGAAATCACACTCGTTTAGTATTGTGAACTTTATTATTATTCCAGATTCAACATAAAAATGCACACACACACACACACACATATATATATATATATATATATATATATATATATATATATATATATATATACTAGCAGTAGAGCCCGGCGTTGCCCGGGGATGTAACAGTAAGAGATAGATCAAGTATCGACCATCATAGAGACTGAAAAATTAAATTGACAAAGATTATTGTTTAAGGTTGACGGACACGTATGTCTTAATTAGTTTTTTTGTTTTGTTTTTTGTTTTTTTACGAATTTGTCAAACCCAAACCCAAACAAAAACATTGTTTTCAATCGTTATGAGTCTACCGATTGAGTAGAATTTTATTATAAACAATTGTCTTGTAAATGGAATTTTTAAAGCATTCTGAATGTAAAAATAAAGAAAAAACGTGTGCAAGACAATAAGAAACACTACCTGCCCACCAAAAAGTGAAGTTTTGTTGAAATCGGTTGAAAAATGAAGAAAATCCGATCCCATATATAAACGAACACACACACACACACACAAACAACCTGGGTTTTATAATAAGTATAACTCGATATGAGTTGTCCCCCTTTCATTCTCGTGATGCCTCTTAATCGTGTTTTCAAATTGATTTCGTGCAAAACAATTGTGTTTTTCCAATTTTTGGCGCTGTCAGAACCACCGCAAGGTAATTTTACGTAGTCCTGTGAAGTTTTGTTGAAATCGGTTGAAAAATGTAGGAAATCCGATCCAATATATAAATATACAGACACACACACACAACCTAGGTTTTATAATAATTATGATATATATATACACACACACACACACATATATATATATATATATATATATATATATATATATATATATATATATATATATATATATAGATAATATTAGTGGAAAATATACATACATATGAAAAATATATCTAAAAATTCCCATACATGTATATTTTCAGAAAAAAATTTTCCAAGAGGAAGGATCCAGGTAGAACTCAATGTCTAGGACAGAGTAAGGATATAATAAAAGGCTTAAACACTAATATTCCATGGAATATTAGTGTTTAAGCCTTTTTTTTATATATATATATATATATATATATATATATATATACGAGTAGATAAATTCGCCTATCACCCGGTTTACATACCTCCAGGTTTTTTGAACAGGTGTAAAGGATTATCATGTGTTTCCTCCTTAGGATTGGGTTTCCCGTTCCTTCTTAAGTTTATTTCAGCTCTATACTTAAAACACTTGCCCTTTCCTACGCTAATAAAACTCCACACAATAACCCTGTACATTGACTGGCTATTGGTCCTTGTTTTGGGTGAATAGTAATAAAAAATATATATGCATTCACATATAAATAAAATATATAAAAGCAAATGTGACATTTTGCCTTTATCAAGACAAAATGTTAGATTCCTCAACAATGAGGAAAAGGAGATTGGCTAACATATCTGTAGAAAAGAAATTTAAACCTAGCACGGGATAAATGAATTGACAGAATCAATGTCCAGTCCACAATAATTGGTGTCTCGATAACATCACCAGGGAGAGGCAATGAAAAACCACTTCAGTATCTCTCCTAAAAACAATCATGAAAATAGACCAAAATGACCGAATACGGCATGAAGGGCGTCAGAGACGTTTGCAACAGATGCTGCTTAACAGACTTCTAATATAGACAAAACGTGTACCAATATGGTAAGACAGAAAATGTAAAACAGGAAATAGAAAGGATAATCGACATCCTGGGAGTTATCTATCCTACATATCCTCATAATATGCAACTCTTGCTACCTCCCGATACGCCCTTAGAAAATTTCCATTCAGTAACCCTCTATCTTGAGTGCCACTTTTGTTCTTAATCATTTCACCCCAAGCAAAGCGATAAAGCCACTATTGTATGAAAAACAATTCGAGAGAAATTAATATTAAGGACAGAGGAAAGTAAAAGATTCAAGGAGACAAAGCATTACAGTGTAACCCGGATATAAGATACCCGGATATAAGAGGCCCTGATATAAGAGAAACCCGGATATAAGAGAGATTTTCTCTGGTCCCAAATTAGAGCCGGTGTTAATGTATATAAAATAGACCAAACCCGGATATAAGAGACTTCTTCTCCGTTCCCGACAACTATCTTATATCCGGGTTACACTGTATATTGGGGAAAAAAACATCCGAGTATAAATAATTCTCCGTTAATATTTTCAACTTCTTTATTAATAACAAGATGTAACCATTTAAGACTGTGTTGCGGATGTGTGTTGGAGAGGAATAGAAGGTTTGAATTATCAGAAGGCTTAAAATTGTGTGTGTTCAATAATCTTCCATCCACAACAATTAATACAAGACAGAGAATAATGATTCAAAAACATCTTGTTTCAAAACGTAACAATTGAATTTATTAAGTGTTTGATATACATGCATGAATACTGAGTGAAAAGGTTAGACAGAGTTGTGTCTCTTAGACTAGGTAATATTTGTACCTAAGCTCATAAAGTGAAAGTAATTATTAAACTGTAGTTTAGAAGAATAAAGTTTCTTTAGCATGTTTGGAATTGTGTATTGTACAAGTTGGTAAAAGTTCAGAAGAGATTTCAGAGTTCGTACTTGCGTGAATGTTGGTAATGGTTTTTAACGTCTGACTGCATTAGTTAAGACGGGAGTTCTTGAAGATTACATCTTGGCAGCAAGGAATGAGACGCGAGAGAGAGAGAGAGAGAGAGAGTTTACACGTGTTCTGTTTTTATAATTTTGTTGTACCACGTGACAGGCTCAGAGCATATTCAGCAGGAAAACAGATTTGTCACGTGCAGGCGGTTTGATTGGGTTTTTTTTTTTATTATTTTATTTTAGTAAAAGATGTCCCTTATTTTTTCTTTAAAGTTCCCGTACGTGGAATTCACTATAAACGTGTAACATCGGGTATCTCATCAACCGCTTGACACAGAAATTTCTTGCCAGATATTTCGACATTTTCTCCAAAAGAATTAAGAAATCCAGCCATATCCCAAAACAGCACGGGTATAACGATAAACTACACCCGGAAGCATGGCCTCTGATCGGGAGGATTTGAGGAACATAGAACCACCTCTTAATTGCTGTTGTTGACCAGAGGTGGTAGCATATGTTAGAGTCCCATCTATGGGCAAGCAATTAAGCACCAAAGTGGGGCCAAGACACTATGAAATTAAAAAAATACATTTTTTTGTAGAAGTGCCAACAATACATTTTCACAGTGAAGGAAAGATATATGTATTAGGTTGGTGCATAATTATCAGGCGTTTTTGTAGGCGAGTTATTTGTTAATAAAAATTGCTGTTTTGTTTACTTTTTTTAATAAAAATATTATTTTATTTTCATGTTATAAAAATGCGTGTCGATATTCATACGCTCCGGAATAATCATTTAAAAATGTTATTGTTGAATTGTTATGTTTCTTTTTTCATAATATATATTGTTTAAGAAACGCCAGATAATTATGCACCAACACAATATATTACCAGCAATACATTTTTTAAATAAAGAAAAAATATTACCAGCAATATATTTTTTTAAATAAAGAAAAAAATATTACTAGCAATACATTTTTTAAATAAAGAAAAAATATTACCAGGCACAAGGTCGGTTTAACGTGGGATCTCCGAGCCCGTGGGCTCGGCCAAAAATATGCCCTTTGAACCCGTATAAACGGGTTCAGAATCGGTTTACCTCCCCGAAAGAGACTCCGCCCTTCGGCGTAGCCTCGTTCGGGTTCCTCCCCGCCCGAAGGCAGAGAGTTCAACCGATCAGCCGATCAGCCGGTCGCCCGACTTCGGACTGAACTCTCTGCTTCCTCTTGAGGCGCAGTATTTATTACGTATGGTATAGTCCATTATGTTATTATGGGTAAGGTCCCATAACATGCTCCAAGTAGGAGATGCGGAGGAACTTTCACAAGCATTTGTTCTCGAGCAGTTGGATCCTTTTTTCCTGCCTCAACCAGGAGTGTCCAAGTCTCACACCCACAGAGAAGGATGGATACGACCAGCGATTTTTAGAGCTTGAACTTGGTCCCGGAAGCACTTCCATATCCTTCCCAGTCTGGCAGTTTTACAACCAATTGCGCCTCGATGAAGGGACGAGCCTCGTGAAACGGAGTGGCTCTTGCAGCGTGTCTCACTGGCGATGGTTCGAGGTAATGCTTTCTCCATCATTGCGGCTGGCAGAGGTTAGAAAAAAATTGTTTATAGTTACGTTGCTCTGGAATTGTCATCAATGGTCATCTGAACTTGTTTTGTTTCAATAAAGTTTTTATTTGCTTGTTTTGATCTCGACCAAAGTCAATTAAATAACTAGATTCTATTCTACTTCATCACGTGACGAAAAACTGTTCTCACGCGTACTTATTCGTGGCGCGCCGCATATTAGCGTCTGTAAAACGGACTTTTTCTTTCTTAAAGTGTCTGAACAATAGACGTTCAGTTTTCAATGCAGCTTATTCGTTCATTATTTATAGCATTTTGACGAAGCAAACAAACTAAATCAATGAGAGGCCATTTTTATTTTATTTCCGCATCAACCTTCCATTGGGCAACATAACAAGAATCTTCAGTACATTTACAAACGAAATCATTACTTACATTTAAAATTAACTGTTCCTATTTATTAGCAGTTCGTCGGATACACCATGACACTTGCCGCTGCCAATATTAAATACATCTTTGGATTAAAGACAAACATAACCAATAACATATTTTACCAAGATGAACGTACGGTATTATACGCTTGTGGCCGCCATTGCATTTTACTCCACACAGACAACAAAACGCAAAAATACATCACAGCTTCCGACAAAGGATTAAGCCTAACAGCAATGGCTATGAGTCCAAACCGTTCATACTTGGCTGTGGCGCTCAAATGTGAACGACCGATCATAAACATTTTTGATTTGTCCACACTCCGCCGACGAAAAACACTAAATACTAATGATGCTACTTCTGATGAGATTATAAGCTTGTCGTTTTCGTCTGATTCCCGTTGTGTCGCGGCTCTGACCGGAGATCCGGCCTGGATGATATTTTGCTGGACATGGGAGAAATCAAAACTTCTTGTCACTACCAAAGTGATGCACATAGGACCTCTATATAGCTTAATTTTCAACCCGAACGATTACGCTCACATGTGTATTATTGGCAACGGGATTTTACGATCATTCCGATTTGTTGAAGGGTCACTAAAACCATTTAATTTCCCAAGGATTGAAACCCAAGACTTCAGATGTTTCTGTTGGGTTTCTGACGAAAAGTTTCTAATTGGAACAGCAAATGGTAAGATTCTGTATATTGAGGGCCGGGATCAGAAGAAAGAGTTTAATTTGGATGTCAATGACCAAGTTACCGCCATTGCGAGTTTTTCTAAAGGGTTTGTCTGCGCATGCGGTCCCGGATTTGTACACTTCTTTGATCGTATTTTCGAAGAACGCGATTACTACAAAAAGAACAGGCAAACGCTTCTGCTTGGCGACCATAACGATGTCAGCCGGCTGCAACAGCAGGTGGTAAAGGGAATGGCCATCAGCCCCTCTGAAGAATTCTTAGTGGTCACTACCGATATGAACCAGCTTTACTGGACTCCAATATCGACAGAATTCCTTAACAGACAAATGAATCAAACGAGTGGATTCGATCTACTTGCTCCTGGTTCGCATTTCGCACCAATAACAGGACTCAGTGTTTGTGTATGGAAGCCTCTAGTCGCAACCTCTTCGGAAGATTCTTTCATAAGAATCTGGAATTTTGAAAAGTTTACATTGGAGTTGTCAAAAGAGTTTGTCGGTTCTGTGCACAGCATTTCAATCCATCCAATGGGCCTGTTTCTTTTGGCTGGGTTGACCGACAAACTTTATTTGATGTACATTTTGAAAGATGACTTAAAGAAGGTAAAAGATTTTGCAATACGTGAATGTAATGTATGCAGTTTTAACCGGGGCGGTCAGTTATTCGCTGCTGTCAAGGGAAAAGTCATTCAAATCTATTCATCCGTAACTTTTGATCTGCTTATCAATCTGAAGGGTCATAACGATAAAGTGGAAACAGTTATCTGGAATGGAGACGATAGCCGAGTACTGACCTGCGGATTGGACGGTGCCATCTATGACTGGGACTACAAGAGCGGACGGCGAATTGGTCAGTGTGTGTTGACTACTTGCCGTTATACAGATATCACGACGCATCTGGGTAACAGGTATATATACGCTGTCGGCTCGGATCGAACCCTGAAAGAGATTCTCGAATCAGACGTCCTCCGAACACTTCCATTGGATGACACACTACTCACCTCGATCGCAATGTCACGTTCGTGCACAATGCTTTTTGCTGGTACCAACACTGGCAATCTGCAGAGTTTTAAGTGCCCAGTTCTTGACGAGACGCTTAATTACGTTGGCCACAGTAAAGAAATATCCAGGATGGTCTTCACAGACGACGATCTGAATTTGATCACCGTTTCGAAAGACGCAAGCATGATTGTTTGGGGTGTTAGGGAGAAAGATGCAGTCGGTATCAAGAGAGAAAAGCGGGTTGATTGGTCGGAAGAGATATTGATTAGCCAATCAGAGCTGGAAGAGAAGAACAAGATGCTTTCAGAGCTGAGAAACCGCATAGAGGAGTTAGATACTGAAAACGAATCCATGCTTCAAGTGAAAGACATGTATTACCAGGGAAAGATGAAGGAAATGACAAGCAAGTTTATTCAGGAGATGGAAGCCCTGAAGACGAAGAACCTTGTTCTGCAGAACGAAAAAATCAAAGAAGAGACGAGGCATGAAGAAAAGCTGGCAGAAGTGATGGAGAGACACAGCCGGGAATTAGAACGGACCGAGTCGGTCAGCGACAAAAAGCTGGTCATTGAATACAACAAATGCAAGGAGATCAAGACCAACATGCTGAAGATGCAAGAGGATTACGACAAGCAGATAATGGCGATGGAAGAAAAGGCCAAAATGGACGAACAGAATCTTACTGAACAGTTTCAGGAGAAGCTGACTTGTCTATCGAATAAAGTGTTGGACGCAGAAAACGAAAACAAAGTTCAAAGAAGCGAATATGAAGAAATTATCAGACAGAACGAGAAAGACTTTGACACTGAGATTACCCGCATGCAGACCCGATACGAACAAGAGCTTCACAGGGAGAGAAACGTCAATAATAAAATGCAAACAGAAATAGCCATCTTGAAGAACCGATTGCAGTCTTATCCGAAAGAAATCAAAGAATGTCAGGACGAGAACCGTAAATGCCAAGCCGAGATTTCGCGTTTGAACAGCATTATCATCGGCCAGGAAAAAGATATTCAGAACCTGAGGAAACAACTGCAGAGGGAAGAGCGTTCTCTGCAGGAAGAAGAGGTCGAGTTTTACAAGTCGAAGATCAAAAAACTCGAGCTGGAGAAACTAAGTCGCGATGTGGAGTTCTACAAGATCGACGAACTGAAGAAGCTGATCGAAGATCGGGAGAAGGAGACGATGAACATGAAACGGCAAATCAAGGCCATGCAACGCGAACTGGAGAATTACAACAAGCAGTTTGTCGACATGGAGCAGGCAATCGAAAATTGGCGGGAAAAGCTCGCTTCCACAACAACTGAGCTCAATAAGGAGAGGGCCGCTTTGAAAAAGAAGTGTACCATTCTGAACCGTTTCCAGCGCGACCTGCATCACTGCACATCTTTCATTCAAGACCCGAAAGTGCTCAAAAGCTGCGTCCAGGTTCTGCACCATAAGTACATGCACGGTGATATGGACACCTCGGATAGTATTGATCCGAATGTCCAGGAGGAGTGGAACCGGCAGAGGACACATCTCGAGAACTGCATCGACAGGATGCGTAGTCATTTGAAGAAGATGCGTAATCTTTTACACATTGAACGAGAAAAGAACAGAGCATTACAAGTTATCGACTTTTCGAAATAAAAAACAAAGGATCAGTGTTGGACAATTTAATCCTTTTTAAAGAATGTGTTGTTTCCTGGTGGCTGTGCAGTTGGTGTAATGCATAGCGGTTCAGTATGAGAAACTGAAGAGCTGAGTACGAATTCCAGTTCCACAATGAAAGAAAAAAAAAGGTTTACATTGAATTTGTTCCCTCGTTGATTATGTTAGCTTTTGTGAAATTTCAAAAAAACAATTGGGGTGGGTATTTATGGCTTCCATATTTTTTATTCCTATACATTTAAGCAAAGATATATACGAAGGATGTTATTCTCTAAATAGCATTAATTTTCTTTTATACGTTATTATAACCTAAGGAGAGGTTACTGAATAGAATAATCACAAGAAGGTTGGTACTGAACGATAATACTTAGGACAAGAACAACACAACAATTCAAATGCAATGTCAGTCGTCATCTTCTGCCTCTTTGAATCCTTTTCTTTTTATTTTCCTTTCTCAAATTGTTCTCAGTTTCTTCCACTCTATTGTCCTTCATCTTTAGTAAACCTTTGCTTGACTTCATCGCTTTGCCTTGAGTGAAATTCGTGAAATACAAAATAACGATGCGAGAATTATATGATCTATGTATATTATCGCTCTGTAATATACGTCCTGTATTGTGATTTCATTTTTCCAATCGCATTACACGTATAAAGAGCTAAAGTGGACAAATTCATATTACCAAGTAGGTTCTGCTGTTACCTACTATTTAAATTATGTGCGATGGGAAAATTGTCACATTTTTATATTTCAAATTTCGCGTTGTTTTTTTTTTGTTTTTTGTTTTTATTTTGTCGACTGCACAGTATAGAAGGGTCGGTTGGGCACCCGTCTGTGTGAAAAAGAGCACCATGACGTTATTTACTGGGCCAGAAATTTGGAAACGGCGTGCTGTAATGCTTGGAATTTGCATAGGAAGCTCCAATACAAACATTTCAGAGTGCTTGGGTGTCAATCTGAGGTCAATGCAAAGGATTCAGAAAGAGTTGGATGACTCTAATGGTGATTACGAAGGATTTTGGAGTGATCACTAGTGATGGCGACGTTATACATCCAATTATCTTCCCATAGGGCCTCAGATTCAACACGGGAGCCTACGTCAAGTGCTTTGAGGTTCAAGAGGGTGTTTGTTGAAGACCATGCTACACAAGCAGGAGAACTCAGTCATAGCTGTCAGACACATAAACCCTTACATCTGGCCACCTACCCCCCAACTCGATTGCAACCCCGTTGATTATTATGTGTGGGATGCATTTGAGCGAGAGACCAACAAAACTCCTTGTAAGACTGAAGGCAAGAATTATGGCTGCATTCACCAACCAGAGAACAGATCAGAAGAAAAGCAGAAGATTCCGAAGTCGTCTGGTGGCCGTGGTTGAAGCCAATGTCGATTTTATTGAATAAATCTACTCTTTAATATGTCAAGATATTTTTGTGTAATTTTGGTAAATATATCTGTTAAAATGAGATATCAGTGTTATTTTCATTTTTGCATAATTTAGAAGACAATTTATCCATCTCACATTGTATAGTTTATCGGAGGATGTGCGTATGGCGTAACAATTATCAATGTGGAAAGTCGAATCAACAAGCCGAGTTCAAATTCAATGCCTGCCTCTTATATTCACTTTTGGAAAAATACCCTTGGGAAAGGTATGAATTTATAATTTCTACTCCCTGGATTACAACATCAGGTTCTGTGCTCTCTAACTTTGGTTGACAGCCATAACTACTCTAAATTCAAAACCGTAGAGAAAGCAACGGGAACTGCTGTTGTCCATAAATGACAACTGAAAGTTTTCGGAAAATATTATAAGGAAAGAAGACTTGGAGAATTGAACACTAACAGTATATATACTGGCAACAAGTGAAGCGGGTAGAAGCAGTAACTTATTTAACGGGACTAAGTAAATTTATGAATAAGGACAAGGACTATGAAGACAAAGAAAAGTAATAAATACGCAGGAGTTACCTAAACCCACAAGAAGCTGTGGAGGACCATGATCACCCACCTCCTGAAAGAATAGAGTGTATAAAAAGAATAATGGTGCTTAGCATTGTATGACTTTTCCTTTTGTTTCATTGCGGTTTTCACCTGAACAAGTAAATCGTTATTCATTATTGGCGGCCATATTCTTAACAACATAAGATATGCAGATGACACAATATTGATAGCAGAAGCAGAAAAGAAACAACAGGAATTCTTAGAGAAGCAATGAAAGAAAGCGAGAAGAAAGGACTAAACAAAAGTTCTAAGAAAACAGAATGTGTGTCTGTCAATGAAAGGATGGTATTTATCAATCCACCCACGGGGATCGAATGTGGCACAAGGCCTTTTTAATGTGGGTATCTCTGAGCCCGTAGGCCCAGCCAAAAATAAATAACCATCCAAACCCGCCGAGGCGGGCCAGTTCCGTCAACCTCCCCCAACGAAACCCTACCCTTCGGTGGAGCTTCGTCCGGGTTCCTCTCTGCAAGCAGAGAGTTCGACAGACACCCGACCCGGCAGCTCACAAAGCGCAGATACTACACTTTGATCCTAGCAATGAAAGGATTCAGCACAAGATGCGAACTACGAATTGGAGACATCAAATTCAAACAAATATAAAAAATTAAATATCTAGGAAGTGGACAGGAAGTGCGACACCGAAATCCAAAAGCACAATGGAATACCGAAAGATGCCTTCTAAAAGTGAAACAAAGTATTAAGAAACAGGTAAATTTCGTTAGAAACAAAAAGTACTGAACTAATATATAATATCAGTCCTCATACATGGCAGTGAATGCTGGAGAATTTCCCGGCAGATGAAGAAGAGACTTGTGCCAACAGAAAAGTGTTTCTACAGAAGGATGCTCAGAATATAATGGTCCGAACATGTTAGCAACGGCGAAAATGGAAACACAAGGAACACATATTTAAGAAGAAATAGTTGAATTTAAGCGCAGTACTAGATTGTCGGCAAGGTCTCATCATTTTACAGTTGAAAGGGTTAAATGTAACCGTAAGTTCTATGCTAATAGTTTCTTCTCTTTTAACAGCGTCTTCTTTTATTCTTCTCGCTTGTGGAACTCTCTAAATTCTTGCTTTCCAATCAACTTTGATCTTCAAAAAATTTAAATGCAATGTCAATCGTTATCTTCTTCCTGCTTAATTTCTGTTCTTTTATTGTTCCCTCTCATTAATAATGTTTTCTTGCGTCTTAGTGGCTTTATTGCCTTGCTCGGGGATGAAATTATTTTCTTAAAAGATGGTAATTCTGAAATAATTTATGCCATATTTTTTATGAATTTATAATTAATAACGTTTTCTTTTAGAAACATAAGATTAATTTTAATTTTTATAATTAATATGGGATTTTGTGTTGGGATTAACAGGGTTAAGTAAAATGTGCTGTAGCAGAAAAACGCTAAAATAGTATGAAAATAAAACATGCAATAAAAATTCATACAAATATTAGATTCCTTTCAAACTGGGAATATAAAATGTCAGTGTTCATAGCAAAGTATTCAGGTGTCATGTTTTCTTTTGACTAGAAAAATGTAAAATAAAAGTCAAAAGTTCAGTTATTGAAACACAAAATTATTAACATATTGCTGCTGCAATAAAAACAATTCAGCTCTAAAGGTTGTTTTGTGATCTTTAAAAAAGATACATTTAGAATATATGCCTACATGAATGCAAGTGTGAATGAACAAATAATAAATTTCACATATTACTGTAGTGTATTTAAGCCATGTCACAGACGATTAGCTGTAGAGGAGATAAGTAGTAGTACCAGTAACCTGCAGATTAGTAGTAAACAGCAGCAGCAACTGCAGCAGCAGCAGCTGACAAGCGCCTTTAAAATCGATGCTTTCAAGAAGAAATGCTCTCTTGTATATAAGGGACTAGTTTAGATTTAATTGAAAATTTATAGTATTATGATGACAGATGCGGTATTTTGGTGAAAAGGATAATGTTCAAGAGCATCGGTTAGTGATTGTGACAAGCTAGATGAAAAGAAAGAACAGTGATGCGCAGTCTTCCTCGTAGTCCAACTTTTTTTAGCCTTCTACCTTATTTTCTATAACTTCTGAAATAAAAATGCTCTTCTCTTTTCTTTCGCCTACGCTTGGAGTCACGACCCTAACGGAAAGCGTTACTCTCTACCTAGTGAGTAAGTAGTACATTTTTTCGTTCAGACATTTGGACGCGGACTCTGTTATGAACGAAAGGCATACTTTTTGTACAAAGACCTTTATAAAACCACGCTTTCAAAAATAAATTCTCTATTTCCATTTCCTCTGCCTATGGAAAGAGGTCCTCTCTTGTCGGTCAGCAAGTAGTACTTGTCTTTGTTAAATGGTCTGTCTAACTGTATACTCCAATCATTTGTGCATAGATATGATGATGATTGTTATACCGGAACATACCTATTCTATTGTTAATAGACTCTCGCACAATATACTATAATAAGTAGTAGTAGTAGCAGTCGCCAGGGAGCTCAGTGAGTTGGTGAGTCAGTCGATGTCGGACATTAAAGTATCAACCACCACAACTAGATTGCTGCGTCATTAACTATTATAACAAGTTCCTAACGTTTTGTACGTCGAACCTTTTTAGGACTGACTCAGTGAAAATACAAGCCTCCACTGTGAAAACCACTCTACAACAATGATACAACAGTATATGGTTAGATTATAAAGAGTTAAATTGTATAGATTATAAAGGGTTAAATTATATAGATTATAAAGGATTAAATTATATAGATTATAAAGGATTAAATTATATAGATTATAAAGGATTAAATTATATAGATTATAAAGGATTAAATTGTATAGATTATAAAGGGTTAAATTATATAGATTATAAAGGATTAAATTATAGATTAGATTAAATTATATAGATTATAAAATTAAATTATATAGATTATAAAGGATTAAATTATATAGATTATAAAAGGATTAAATTATATAGATTATAAAGGGTTAAATTATATAGATTATAAAGGATTAAATTGTATAGATTATAAAGGGTTAAATTATATAGATTATAAAGGATTAAATTGTATAGATTATAAAGGGTTAAATTATATAGATTATAAAGGGTTAAATTTAAAACCTGTAATTAAGACCTTTAGTGGTCGCACGAAACATTAAAAAAGCCCAACTCTGTTGAAAGAGCTTAGATATTCTTTTCGTTCTGCTAGTAAATATAAAAAATTGTTTTATTTACATGTTTTATGTTAAATGACTGTGAATAATCCCATAGTACTTAAACCAACTATTAGAGCCTTTTCAAGTACACTTCATTTATATCTACATCTATCAGTTGTTTATATTGTAGATAAAGTTTCTCTTTCTTATTTGTCTTTGTTAAATGGTTTGTCTAACAGTATACTCCGATCATTTGTGTATAGCTATGCTGATGATGCAACGGTATATGGGTGCACCTTTAAAACCTAGGTGATTAGAGATTGGCAGATGGTCTCTCCTCTGACCTAGCGTTAACATCTCAGAAAGGATAAAAAAAAAATGGCTGCTTACATTCAATGCCTCGGGGAAAAAAACACCATCGACGATCAAACCAATCACGATGCACGGATGTTCCCAGGGAGGCTCCATGCCTTGAGCGTCTATTGGGGTAAACTCAACCCAGACCTCCAGTGGGATTCGTACATACGATCCATCGCTAAAGATGCTGAAAAAAATTATTGGTTCCCTGTACAGCTCCAGTACTAATTCATCCTGCTATATCCCACCTTTACAAGAGACATATCAGGCCAAGAATGGAATCAGTTATGTTCCATGCGTGATACACGCTTAAGCGATCATGTATCTTTCGATACATGACTGACTAGGCAGATTTTTTCCCGCTGTGTGTTGCCATTTCTTTCTGCGGTAGACCAGTTGCCATCCAAGGCTACAGAACCTGGTCCGTTCTGCTATTTACCCATAGCTGGGGGGAAAAGAAGAAGAAGATGATTCCTTATAAATTATTTTGTTTACGCTTCAGTTGCGAAAATGAAGTTAGTAGATACAGACTTCGAGACGTCCCAACAAGAGATGTCTTTACGGTGATGGCTTTCCGTGGCTTTTAGTGGTTTACGATCATATCACGCTGAGGCACCACTTCTCCTAAAATCACCGAAGTTAAGCAACGTTGAGCCTTGTTAGTACCTAGATGGGTGACCGCTTGGGAACATCAGCTGCTGTAAGCTTGGATATCCGTGTGGTGTATTGTGTAACGGAATTGGGATTCGGAGATCCGAGTTCCAATTCCAGCCATGTTCGTTATATTCACTTACGTGCAAATGCCCTTGGGAAAGGTATGAATTCACCTCTTCTCCTCCCCATCTATGGGTTAATTAATAGAACTTGTATCAGTAAATCATTATCGTCACAAAAGAATTCTTACAATCTAAGACTATTTCCTATCTTTAAATTAACTGAAAAAGGTTGATAAGCCGAAAAAAAAAACAGATCAATCTATTTTTGTTTAGTATGACTCATTAATCTCTAGGCCGGTAGACACTTGGTTCACTTTAAAAAAGAATAGAGATGTCTACTCAAACATGTCTATTCACCAAATATAATATCTATAGTAATAAGAAGTAATATGACTACAGTGTTTATGATGATGATAATGATAATAAAACAATTATAATAAAAACAATTAATGGATTTTCTAAAAAAAACGCAACGGTTTACTGAGTGTGGAAGAATATGAAAAAAGCAAACATTATTCTGTAGAAAGAACAATAAAAGAACATGAAGAAGATATAAAATAACGATAGACATTGCATTTATATTTTAGAAGTTAAAACTTGACTAGAAAGCAAGAGGCTAGAAGAGAGTTCCACATACGAGAAGTGCGAAAGAATAATTCATAAAGTCTAGGTACCAAAGAGGAAAGCTCATCAGAACAATTACGATGAAAACAGTTACAGAAAATGCACAAAGAAACTATATTACGGCAGTGGAAAAGGAAGCTGAGGATTCGAATCAATAACATTGCAGATTTTTCTCTTTATTTTATCAAAAGTCTTTTTAATACATAGCAGAAGCACCAGACCAGATGTGACAGCAATATTCAATGCATGATTCCTTGCAATATGTAAGATAGATTCTGGCGATAGAAATTATATAGCACGCTTTTCCGGCAACAGACATAGCAATTGATTAAATTAAGTCAATTTACATGAAAAACATATCATGTGGCTTTCGACTTACAAAATATATTCTTATTTTAAAATAATGACTTTGAATTACGCACTGGTGTGCAAATCTCAAAGATCAGAGTTAAGCTTAAATCAAGCGAGAGGCGAAAAAATTCTGAAAATCTATGTAAAATTTGTGATCATTGAGATTATTTTTTTGTTCTATCTGCAAAGGTTTCAAGATATGCTTCTGATTAGAAAGATTAACTTAAATAAAATCATCAACCTTCTTTTCAGATTTATTAAATGTTTGAAAGAGTTGAGCCCGGCGTTGCCCGGTGATGTAACAGTAAGAGATAGATCAAGTATCGACCATCATAAAGACTGAAAAATAAAATCGACAAAGATTATTGTTTAAGGTTGACGGACACGCATGTCTTAATTAGTTTGTTTGGTTTTTTTTTTTGGTTTTTTTTTGTTTGTTTTTTTTACGAATTGGTCGAACCCAAACTCAAAGAAAAACATTGTTTTCGATCGTTATGAGTCTACCGATTGAATAGAATTTTATTATAAACAATTGTCTTGTAAATGGAATTTTTAAAGCATTCTGAATGTAAAATAAAGAAAAAAAAGTGTGCAAGACAATAAGAAACACTACCTGCCAAAAAAAAGTGAAGTTTTGTTGAAATCGGTTGAAAAATGTAGGAAATCCGATCCCATATATAAACGAACACACACACAAACAACCTGGATTTTATAATAAGTATAACTCGATATGAATTGTCCCCCATTCATTCTCGCGATGACTTTTAATCGTGTTTTCGAATTGATTTCGTGCAAAAACAATTGTGTTTTTCCAATTTTTGGCGCTGCCAGAACCACCGCAAGGTAATTTTACGTAGTCCTGTGAAGTTTTGTTGAAAAATGTAGGAAATCCGATCCAATATATAAACGTACAGACACACACACACACACACACACAACCTGGGTTTTATAATAAGTATGATGTTATATTTCAGGGCAAAAGATATTTAATCTAACAACGTTAACAATGGAAACATCTGTGGTGTGACATCAGAAGGTAAAGTCGATTTTTCAAACATATTTTTTTTACAAAATCTCTAAAATTCCTTCTTTCCAAAAATCTTTAATATTAGCGTGCATCAGGAGTTTTTTTTTTTTTTTTAATGGTATTTTTCAATGATCCTATCTCTTCTATAATTACCCAAGTTTTGTTGGTCGATTTCTCCTCTTTCTTGTGTTTTAAAGCGTCATAATAGACAATTCATTATCGTCTACTTCTGGTCTTTATTCCAAAGGGCAGGTAACCATTCTTAAAACATTTAAACCAGTTTGGTACGGCACAGCTAGATATTGTTTTATTTACACCCGCTTTTTTGAATTCTGCGAGCAGATTAAGATGCTTTGATGCCTATTTCAAAATAAAGCTTAAAAATTCCTAAAACCTCAATACTTTATCAGTCATCATAACATCTGAGACAAAAGACACGCCTGATTATTACTGTTACTGATAATGTTTTTTTCTCCCCCGTCTCCACTTAATATGCATTACGTTTAGCTAATCATTCGGCCCTCAACGGAATTTCGGTTTGACGGAGAGTACAGTCTTCGGATAGACGGCGCCAAGATCAGATGCATTTCTGACGCGTTGATGGACGCAGCATCTCACAACAGGGCGTGTCGGAATTGGAAGTAAAAACAGCGTTTATAACATCCACTAGCTTTCCTTTTCAGGATCAGAAGAAGGCATGTAACACATTTGTATACATTGATAGTATGCTATCATTCTAGACTATAAAAAAAATAAAAACTTAATGTTCTCTCTTCCGACTTCTCTATCGCTGTTTTTATTTTTTATTTTTTTTATTGTAAATGTTTCGGTGATTATCTGCCTTCTGTAGCCAGATGCGACAGCAAGATCGCCCAATAAATATTTGGTAATCCAACGATGTACCGGCTTTGTTCAAATTTATGATCACGCTATGTCATGCGCACTCTTCCATTAAAATCAAGACATTTTGTGTCGATTAATTTTATTGATCGACTTTTACAAATTGCGAATAATCCTTCTCAAGTAATAATGGAAGTATTATTAATAAAAAAAGAAAAAGCCAACACTTAATAATATTAACGATAAAAAATTTCTATAACTCCTAATACATACATAAAACAATTGATACATTCAGTTAAAAGTAAAAATAAAATCATCCTTGATAATGGCTAAAGGTATAGCCGAAAGCGTTCGAACATACAAAACATTTGGGCAATTTCTACATAATTTAGCCCAGAAAAGAAGAAAAATATAAGAACACAAGAAAAATAAAATACAAACTTAACTGCAGTAACTTGTCAGCTGTTTTAATGAAACTTGTATAAAAGAGGGATTGCTGCCCAAATACACAATGATATATATATATATATATATATATATATATATAAAGAGAGAGAGAGAGCTACAGAGAAAGACAGGGGGAAGAGAGAAATAGTTATGATTTGATTTTATTTGCCAAATTTTATTCTTTCTGCTTTAGCCTGTTTTTAGAAAATGGCCATGTTGCATTGGTAATTGTTATGGGGTCCACCCATGGCGTTCTATATTAACAGGCCTCTGCGTAGCGCTGCTATCTCGGTAGACTGGAGGCCGGCTGACAATTAGATCGTTTTAGTTTCAGTTTGAACGAACTGCTGCGTACTGTGTACTCTTATGTTGTTGGATCGAGAAATTCAAAGGAATCTTTTAATTTTACCTTTGGTTGGAATATCATTTAATTTATTTATTTGAAGTAAGATATATTTGATTATTTTAGTTTGAGTCCATACATTATTCATATTTAAATTGTAAAAAGTAAACTTTGGTGCTTAAATTTACTCGCACAAAAAGATTTACTTAAGTTTAAAAAGCCTTAACATTTTTAAATTAAAGTTTAATTCATTTTGGCATTTTCCCTCTTAAAGTTTGTTCAACATTTTTTGATTAAAGTTTAAAGAATTAAAATGCAATTCTTTTTGAGTAATTTGTGTTATTTTAAGAAGCAAAACAAAACAACGTTTAACAAATTTGAACAGAATTTAATTTAGTTTCTTCAAAGACGTAAAGAAAACTATTTTTATTATAAAATGAATTAAAATTTTAAAAATGTTTTTTTTTTTTTCATAAATTCAATGTCATTACTTAATTTGATATTTATTTTTGATATCGCTAAAAAAACATTGTTATGAGTGAAAACATAACGTCAACGAAATTAAAGTTTAATTTTCTCAAGTTTTTATTTTAACCATGATAAAAAATTAGCATAAGTCAACATTAAATTAAATTTAAATTAAGTTTGAATAATAAATTTGAATAAAACTTTAATAGAGAAAGGTTCATTAACATTTCTCTATTAAAACTTTATCCAACATTTCCATTAAAAGTAAAAAAAAAACAAAACAAACGAATTTCTTCGCGCTTTTGTTTCCGAAGTTAAAGAATAAATGATTATTTTTAACATTAGTTACCAATTGGTGAACTGTAAGTATTTTTTTTTACTTATTAGAATTAAAGAAAAAATAACAATAATAAATTTATTACATGCAGTTAATGTCAATATTTTAATTATTTTTTATTTTTATTTTTTTTTTTAGAAAGGTCTCCTTTTTTACGCCTTTTGACTACAAAATTTATTTTACAAGACAAGTATAATAATACCATTTTATTTATCATATTCATTTTAATATTTTCTGATATTGTTGTTAAAGGACAAAAAATGCATTATTTTTACTTTACTTTTTAATTGTTTTGCTTTTAAGGTAAAAAAAGTTATATATATTCCTATCTATATAGTTTAAAGCGTATTAAAATAACCAAACTAAAGGAAAGGCTACTTATGAATGTTTTTAAATTTAATATAAAGTTTTAAAGTAAACAACATTGGCCTTCAAATTTTGATACCATAAAAGTCAATGGAAAAATACGTCCAAAAAATCCACCATCTGTATGGCCAGGTGTGCCAAGTAGTCAAATACCAACACCCTCAGCTGTTCAAAGGAATATAAAAA